AAAAATAATTAGTAACTGCCAGTACGATGTTCGTATTCCTCTTTTATAGTTCCACGGAAATGCACATAAAATACTCCCAATTTTATAGACTGACTTCAAATATGAACTTCCATTTTTACAGCTATCTATCATATTGGTATTTTAAAATTATGGCTTGTTTGGAATATAAATCTAATTGATTTGGCTGTCGTTGTAAAAAATAAAATGTAAATTATTCTATCACTTGATGATGTTACATGCATATTAAAATACTCCAAATATCATTCGAAATAATATGTTTTTATGGTGATGAATTAATGAATATTATTTTCCGATACCTGTGTTTTATGTAGATACTTTTTATCTGTCTGATTCAGCTAAGAAGTAATCGATACTGTACAAAATATACATGAAAACACATTTACATTAGAAATAAAAAATCAGAATGCACCACAAAGATAAAATTGAAAGTCACTATGATATAGGTAAAGAAATAATAATAAGACTTACTCACAATCAATTTAATTTAACAATCTGACGACCGGTTTCGCTTTTTACAATTTGCAAAGCATCTTCAGGTCTAGATAGAAAGTTAAACTAATGCTGCAATAAAATAAACCCAATTAGGGTGGTGTCTAATAAAGATAAAATAAACAAATAAGTTAGTTCATACAAATTATAGTAATTATGCCAATATTACATGTCTGTGGTTTTCAAAATGAATAAATTTGAATATGTAAAAGGTATTAACAGACAAGGTAAGACCCACAATTGGTATAAAGTAGTAATATTATATTGTAATAAATTAATAAATGAGCAGATAAATAAAACAAAACAAACATTACTTACATGCCGGTACTCTATTAATTGATGGATGGTAGGTCATGGTTGCAAAAATCATGTATTGTTGATTGGAGAACTTTAATGTGCTATTGCAGTTGTTTTGACAATAAACGGGAAGTTCTTGAGGAGAACAGATTTGATCCAATGAATTAGAGATAGGTATATTGTGGTTGTTTGTCAGATGAAAGTGATGTTCTTTACTATTGTATTATTTAAATTATTTACACTTATATCAGAGATATATTTTTGGAATATGTGTTGAATTGAGTATTTATGTAATGAAGGAGACAGTTTTATGACAATGAATAAGAGTAGCTGTACCGATTGTGTGGTTGTGCAATTATTTTGACTTGTAATTATCAAGTCTATTGGTAAAATTAATCAATTATTGTAAAGTCAATTATGTAAAATGTATATAAAAAGTATATAAAATTATTACAAATTAAGACAATCGGGGACAAATTAAACACACATTAACAGGAACAGAAACACTAAATGACGGGACAAACATTGAATTTAAAACTTACACTTTAGGGAATGGAAGAAACTGCCAGCACTACATCTCACTGTTGGATATAATGAGTTTTTTCATATTTAATCTGTTAGATTTAAGAGGTAAATTTGACATATGTAGGTTGAAGTGTGACAGTTCTTCTTCTATTACTAAATACTGTAAGTTTAGTTATTCAGTATTTTTTAGTATGTTGATATTAATGAATGTCTCAAAATTTGTTTTAATTTAGTAATCAAAAGTAAATTGTTGTGTTAAATTACTAAATTTTCTTAACACCAACTTTGAGAGTTTCCAAGACGCTGAGAAAATCTGACCGACAATTACTGTGTTCATGCAGCCCAAAAGCCAGTCAGGATCCAAACGTCCAAGATGCTTAACAGCTTCAGGCGGTATTGATTCTAGCCCGGAAGCATTGCCGGCTTTAAGGGCTTCACTAGCAACAGTGAGTTTCTCTAGGGAGAATGAAAACAATCTGTTCTGCATCCTCGGCGTCCCATTTCACCCCATGCCAACCCCCGGGCGGAAACAGCTCTGTTACCAGAGCAATCTTGTCCGCGAATGGCATGGTGTAGAGGGGGTAGGCATCGAAGTACTTCATGACGATTTTGTACTTGTCTCCATAGAGGTCGTCGTTTAATCTAATTTAACCTAACCTAACCTAACCTAATCTAACCTAACTTAACCTAATCTACAACATTAATTAGCATTTTTCTTTAGAATAGAATAGAAATATGCTTTATTGTCATTGAAAATTGTACAATTTTACGGACAAAGCTTACACAAAGTAAACAAAATAACTATAACAATTAAAATTTACTAAAATTACATAAATCGTCAATATCACAAAATAAAAGATAATAAAATATAATACAAATCATTGCAAAATTTTACTAAATTGCAAATTGCATAATAAAACCTTACGAGCTAGTTTACGAATAAGTTTAAGTTGCTGCACGTGATACCTAAATATTTATAAAAATTTAATTGCTTATACCTTAGTTAGGCTGGTTTTTTACTTAACAAATCGACATGATGGGACCATTTGAGATTACTGTCTTCAGTAGCCACTTCCCAAAAACTTGGTCGTATAGCAGAACATAGCAGAACATAGAAGGGCTATAGCAGAACACAGCAGAACATAGAAGGGCTTTCTATAATAGAAAAACGGATTCTACATACGCACTCTACCTTTTAGACCATAATAACTTCTTTTAATGACAAATTTTAAACTTTCATATTCAATCAGTAAAAAAATACGGACATAATTCAGAATGACCAATGAGACAAACCGTTCTCCCCTTCTTAACTTATTTAGTTATAGACTTCTTCTTAAGGTGCTTTCTCCATTACTGAAGGTTGGCTATATTGAGCTGTTCTTAGTATTAAATGTGTGTCCATGCCTGTCCAGTCTCTCAGATTCTTTAACCAGGAGCATTTTCTTCTTCTTGGATCTTTTCTTCCTTCCACTTTCCTTTCCTTTATAAATCGTAGGAAGTTGCATTTTCTCCTTTGTAAATATGTCCTAGATAACTCCTTTTTTGTTTCTTACAATATTTAAAAGTTCTCTCCGAGAAGAGATCTTCAGTATCCTACAAAAAAACCCACATCTCAAAGGCTTCTATACGCCTCCTACTTATAATTCTGAGAGCCCATGTTTCCACTCCGTATAGCAATATGGAATAAATAAACGTTTTTACAAATTGGTATCGGATATCCAACGATAACGTAGAGTTTATTACGAATTATAGACGAAAGTTTCTCTTAAGCGTGGTGTCAGAAAGGGATGTGTTAGGTCACCGATGTTGTTTAATGTCTACACTGAACCAGTTTTTGCAATAGCGTTAAATAATCGCCGCGAAGGTGTTAAGATCGGTGGTGAAATTATTAATAACATCAGATTCGCCGATGACACCGCAATAATGGCAGGGGGTCTAGAAGATCTTCAAACCCTGTTGAATGCTGTAAACAACGAATGCACTGAAAAGGGCTTAACAATTAACGCAAAAAAAAGGATGGTGGTCGGAAAAATTAATATCGAAGACTCAGTACTAAAATTAGATAACAAAATCCTGAAAAGGTTGGAATACTTTAGATATCTGGGTAGCTGGATTGACTGCAGAGTTGAAAGTGACGAAGAAATTTCGACCAGAATAGAACTCACACGGAAAAACTTTATTAGCTGGCGTTCTGTATTATGCAGTAGAAGTCTGTCGTTGACCACACGTCTAAGAGTATTGAAGTGCTACGTCTGGTTCACTTTGTTCTATGGTTGTGAAACCGTCGCATGCTCAGAATCCCGTGGATAGCACACATATCTAACGAACGTGTGCTAGTGACCGTGCACAAACAGCGAGCATTGATCAACATCATCAAAATAAGAAAGGTCCAATACTTCGGTCATATAATGAGAGGACCTAAATATCGCTTACTCCGGTTAATCACTCAGGGCAAAATCGAAGGAAAACGTTGGGTCGGAAGAAAACAACTGTCCTGACTGCGTAACATTAGACAATGGATAGGTCAAAGGTCGAGGAACTGTTTCATGTAGCTGCCGACCGAGAATAATTTCATCAGCTTGTCAGTATGACGATAGCCAACGCTTGAATACAAGCACGGCACACAAAGAAGAAGATAGACTATAAAGTGTAAACACATACCAAAACTATATCACTTAAGAAAGGTACTCTGGCCAAAAGAACTGTAGTGATAATAATTATTTAAAATAAATTTTGTGGAAGTGTTTTTAGTGTTTTATGGATTAATAAACAAGTTATGAGCAATATTCAAAAACAGCGATTTTGTTGAACCTTTTTTGTGTAATAACTAATTTTATTTTAGTGTTTTGTCCCATTGTGTTTACCCTCTTGTTTTGAAAAAGTTGACGTCAAATCTTTGAATAGACAAATTTTTAGATAATGTGTTAGACGCAAAATAATGTGTTAGACGCTTTGATTGTTTATTTAAAAACGGTTCCCCTAAAAAATTGATAAATCCCTAGATGAGTGTCTTTTTGTACTATCTCATACTACAAATTTCAACTGTCAAATACAATCGTGTCCAGTAAAAAACCAAATTGGAATATTATTATATTGGGACGTTTTATTGGCATCTTTATTTTAAAGACATCTGAATAAATATATTAACTATAAAAAGTTTTAAAATGACCACCCTGTATATTATCCAATTTTATTTTATCAATACTTACAAATATTACTGACAAATAACTTATGGTATGAAAAATTTGGTCTTCTGAGTCTACCTTCGTTACCAGTTTCTTATGTCACGTTTAGTATATTATCAAGTTCAAAAAGTAGCTTTGTCATTCTCCACAGAAATATTAACAAAAGTGGTACACAAAGCACATACACATAACAAAGCTAAAGTTCAGGTATTGGACAATATGAACTATATCCTTGTGTAGCTTCAGTAGGGTTTTAATGGTTTTTTCTATGTCACTTTCGCTAAAATGATCGTTTCATTTCAAGTTGCAAAGTGGATTTTCTGGAAAATATATATTTGCCTCTGGTTTACTATCTTTAAAGTTTCCGTAACAACAGCACTTACAGCAATCATTTTAAAGTTTAGAATTAGCCAGAAAAATAGGTAAGCAAGTGATTTTACGTCTACATAGGAAATTATCGAATTTAAAAAACCAGTACTCACAATGGAAGTTGTTGGAATATTTGGATCAGATGTTCGTTATTGGCTCGATGTAAGGAGCAAACCTTTCATTCTAGAGGCACCTATGGTAATGTGCCATGAAGCACCTGGAACTGTGATCAAATGTGGCCCAGATGAAAAAAGCTTAGAACCTGGTGATAGAGCTGCCATTGAACCAGAAGTACCGTGCCGAAAGTGTAAATTTTTTAAAACAGAAAGATATCACATTTGTCCAGATAGAAAATTCTGCGCCACACCACCAATTGATGGAAACTTAGCTCGGTTTTACGTAACAGACAAAGACTTTTGCGTTAAACTTCCATGTAATATGAGCCTTGAAGAAGGCACTTTATTCTGTGTCTGCTTTATTCGAGATCTGGACTAATTAGATTATATTGCGTGGCAGCCACGAGGGCATATGGTGCACAAAAAATACTCAATACCGATGTCATGGATTACCGCTTGAAACTAGCCAAGAAAATGGGTGCTAACTTATACGCTGAATACATTTGAAATAGAAGAAATGTAAATAGGAAATAGCGTCCGCGAAATATTAAAGGAAGAACCGCATGTGTCTATAGAATGTGGTGGGTCCGAAATGTATGCCCGTTTATCTATGTATCTTACTAGAGCTGGTAGAGTATCTATTTTACTAGGTAACTAGGGTTACTGGGTGGTCTTGAAATGACCTTGCCTTTTGGAGTAGCTTTGGTAAAGGAAATAAATACGATTGGTTCATTTAGATACAACAACGACTATCCGGAAGCAACAAAGATGGTAAGATCCGGAAGAGCACATGAGAGAGATCTTGTAACTCATCATTTTACCTTAGAAGAAACAAAAGAAACTCATACTACAAATTCCAACTATCAAATACGGTTGAGTCTAGTAAAAAACTTAATTGGAATATTAATATATTGGCACGTTTTATTGGCATTGTTGCTGTGCAAACTAGTTCATTTATTTCAAGATGGCTGCTGTCGAAGACCACTACAACCAATTGATGGTGAAAACTTGGAAATAAATTTTAAATTCTGCGCTAAAAAACAGTATAAAATAGTTGTGTGTAAATATTGTTATAGTGTTTTTCACTCTAGCTGTGCAAAAAGATGTGGATTTGAAACATGTGAGAGAAATATCATAATATGCTGTGACAAAAAAGGTGGTGATACCGAAACAAACGAGATGTCAACTACAGAAGAATTATCCAAACTCAGATTAGAAAATGACCTCTTAAAAACACTAATTATGGAAATGGAAGACAAAAATGTTGTATTAAAAGAAAACAATAATTTATTGCGCCAAAAAGTAAGTTATCTAGAGCAAAAAACCGCAAAAAAAACTGAATACGAAAGTGTAAATAAACAAGATCAGATAATGGATCACTGTGTTGATAAAAAATTCTCAAGGTCGGTACCACCTCGTACGCAAAATAGATCATTCACAGAAGTAGTAGCTCAAACGTCAAAAAGTTTAAGTAGTTCCTCTGAACAGAAGACAAGTGACAACATTAATGTCAACCTCAAAAATAAACAAACAACTGAGGTTAATGAGCAAATAAAAAAAACATAAAATAACTAAGGAAAACAGCGATAGAGATGGGTTCCAAAAAGTTATACACAGGACACATTGGTTCAAAACTAAAAAAAAATATAGGAACGGCAGTAAGCGATGACGATAGCACAAGTGGTTTTGTAGGGAAAAAGAAAAAAGTGTGGCTATACTTGTATAGAGTGAAGAGAACAACAAAACAAGAGGAGATATGTAAATTTCTAATAGAAAAGAGGAGAATGCAACAAGAGTCTATTATGGTAAAGGAATTGCGAAGTCAAGAAAATATGTTGAAGAGATTTGTTGTATCGGCTCTCTTTGATAATAAGGATGACATGTATAAACCAGAGTTTTGGCCTAATGGTGTTGGCATAAAAAGGTTCTAGATGCATCGTCATAAGGATTTTCTAGATAACTGAGGTGGAAATTTTTCATAGGAGAAAATAGAGAGCACAAGACACATCAACACAAGGAAATTGAAATACAAAACACAGTCACACGAGCAAAGAATATAAGTATCATCCACCAGAACCTCCAATCCATAGGAAATTGTATTGATGAAATAGAAGAACTTCTAACAAACAACAGTGACTGTAAAATATTGTGCACAACAGAACATTGGAAAACTAAACAAGAATTAAGTGAATATGGAATTAACAAATTTTGTGCTGACAGCTAGTCATTGTAGAAATAATGTGAATGAACATGGAGGAACAGCTATATATCTTAGTAAAGACATCATTGGCCAGGAAAAAAGGATATACAAGAGTTATCAGTAGATAGGGTAATAGAGCGTGCTGTATGCGAAGCTGATATAGGTAATAACAAACTCATTATAACATTAGTTTACAGACTATCAGGTAACAATTTGGCAGTTTTTTTTAAACAAATTTGATATTATACTGGGAAGAATTATGATAGAAAACACAATTATAATTATAGGGGGAGATTTCAATATCGATCTTATGAATAACACATTAGATAATGTAAAATTTTGTATGTTAATCAACTCATATAATATTTGTCATGTAATTGAAGACTACACTAGAGTAACTGCCACATCTAAAACTTGTATAGATAACATACTAACAAATATGCAATCATATGTGTCAGTAGAAGTCTTGCACGCTGGGATCTCTGATTATTCTGCCCAAATATTAACTTTTCAGTTAGAGGAAGCAGAAACGAATACTCTTGAAATGAAAAGACATTTTAGTACAAATAATATTGAAACCTTTATAAGTAAATTACATAATCATGACTGGCTTAATTTAAGTTACAAATGTGTAAATGATCAATGGAATACTTTTTTAAATCAGTTTCTGTATATATTCAATCAGTGCTTTCCTTTTAAAAAGTTAGATTCTAGGCAACGTAAAAAGGCCTTAATAAAAGAGATGATCCAGAGATAATAGAATGTAAGACTCGTTTAGACATCTTGTTTACAATGAGCAGAGTTAACCATAAATTCTATGATTCCTATAGACAGGTAAATAAAGAATATAATAAGAAAAATAATAACAAAACGATCAAAGCTATATGAAAACAGGATGTCTGAAGCTGCCAACAAAAATAAATGCATGTGGCAAATTGTTAGTGAAATTAATGGTCAATTAAAAAGTGTAAATTCAATAAAAGTAGAGGGTAGTCCTCAAGAAATTGCTGATAAATACATGATCCACTTAAATACTTCTTTAAATAACACTTTATCTCAATTACAATACACTGAATATAAAGACAACATTGCAAGTAACATAAGTTCAGTGTTTGTCGCACCTGTGACAGAAACTGAAATTACGGATATAACTAAAAATTTAAAAAACAAAATGAGTTGTGGAATTGATGAAATACCCACTAAAATCCTTAAACTTTGTATAAAGGAGATAGTGAATCCTCTCACTACAATCATAAATAGTTTACTAAAATCTGGTGTATTTCCTGAATGCCTGAAAACTGCCATAGTAACACCTATTTACAAAAAGGGTGATTCTAAATTAATTAATAACTATAGACCAATTAGCCTTCTATGTTTCCTTTTCAAAAATATTACTTCGATTTCGATTTTTCAATTTGTCTGGGATATTTTGAAATGTACTGAGATTGGTCATATAGCTTTGGGTCTCTTTTTGGACCTATCAAAGGCATATGACTGTTTAGTTTATGACATATTATTTGATAAATTGGAGAAACATGGTATAACGTGGACCAGCATTGAACTGATTTAAGTCCTACTTGGCAAATAGGAGACATTTAGTAAAAATACATAAAAACACTTAAATAGGCATCTCATCTGAAAGCACTATCAATATTGGAGTACCACAAGGAAGTGTGATGAAGGTCTAGTGGCTAATACTACTTCCAGCATAACAAATTATGCAGATGATACAAACATTTTAGTCAGTGGTAAAGACATGTCTGTTCTAAGCTTTAATGCTAGTTTAGAGTTCCAGAAAGCTAAAGACTGGTTTTCTATGAATAGGTTGGTTTTAAATCAAAATAAAACAGATCTTCTTTTGTTTAAGACAAATTATGCACATTCAGATATGCCAAATAGTATTATTGTAAATAATGACACTTTAAATATTAGCAGCAGTACCAAATTTTTAGGATTATATATTGACAGTTTTTTAGTTTGGGATAAACATGTTGACCAGTTATGTATGTCTTTGAGTAAAGTGATTTCCAGCTTTAGAGTTCTAAAAAAATACATGAATAGTAACTCAATAAAAACAGTGTATCATGCTAATTTTGAAGCAAAATTTAGATATGGTGTAATAAATTTTGGCCATAGTAGGGACATAAATAATATATTTCTGGTTCAGAAAAAAATAATCAGAGTTATGTTTGACTTAAAAAGTAGGGAATCATGTAGAGGACATTTTAGGAGTAATAATATTTTAACAGTTTATGCTGTATGTATTCAAGAATGCTTACTGTTTCTATATAAAAATAAAATACCCTTTAGGAACTTTGAGCCCAACAGTATAGTAAATACCAGGTTATATAATTATAAAATTCCAATACACAGGTTAAGTATAACAGAAAAAAACGCCCTTTATTGCTGCCTCTAATGGTTTAATAAACTGCCTGAACCTATTAAAAGGGAGGAAAGATTAAGTTTGTATAAACATCAAATATTTAAATTACTAGTAGCTCTTGAGCCATATTCTGTGGAGGACAATTTGTATATGTAACGGTTAGAAATAAGTAAATAATATTTTTGTTTGTGACACTGTTTTTTTTTTAATAATTTTATGTACACGGAATGTATATTATTTTCTGAAAATAAATATATTGTTATGTTATGTTATTTTAGTTTTTATTCTTGCCATTTTTCTGAATGAATATAACAACAGTGAAATAAAAAAGTAAGAAAGACATCTGAATAAAGATATTAACGATAAGACTCTAGTTATATTTGATCAATACTTACAAATAATACTGACAAATAACTTATGGTATGAAAAATTTGGTCTTCTGGGTCTACCTTCGTTACCAGTTTCTTGTATGTCACGTTTAGTATATTATCAAGTTGAAAAAGTAGCTTTGTCATTCCCCACAGAAATATTAACAAAAGTGGTACACCAAAGCTGAAGTTTAAGTATTGGACAATATGAAATATATCCTTGTGTAGCTTCATCAGAGTTTTAATGTTTTTTTCTATGTCACTTTCGCTAAAATAATCGTTTCGAGTTACAAAGTGGATTTTCTGGAAAATATACATTTGCCTTTGGTTTACTATCTTTGAAGTTTCCGTAACAACAGCACTTACAGCAATCATTTTCAAGTTTAGCATTAGCCAGAAAAATAGGTAAGCAAGTGATTTTACGTCTAAATAGGGAATTATGGAAATTAAAGAAACCAGTACTCCAAACAAAACCAAAATCCAAAATAGAGTTTTTCCAATAAATATTGTTCTAGATATTAAATACTTTTTCTCCAAGTATTGATCCATATGTGAC